AACACCCACTGGCAAAGTATTGGGGAGCAATGTGGGGGTATGTGCTCCCCCCAGATTTCTGTGGTAACTGGGGCATGGGGCTGCAGCCTGGCTGAAGCAGCAGGCTTGGTACTGCCACCGGTGCTGGGAGTCCCAAGCCACCACCAGTGGGACCTGCCGCTACCACCCCAGCTGGGCAGCACCATCAGTCCCAGCCCCCAGTCCTGCTCTGAGGGCACCAGGCCTGGTGTGCAGGGGCTCAGTCCACATTCCCACACTGAGCTGCTGCTGCCGGAAGCCACCGCCGCTTTGGCTGTGCAGCACCGCCAGCCCCAGCCCAAGCCAAGGTGTGATGAGGCAGCATGGCCAGGGACAAGACAGCCTGTACCCACCCCAGCCCCAGCTTGTAGAGTGGGGCAGGGTGATTGCCAGGTGCTACAACAGTAGCGTCCTGTATGTCTCAGTGTCCCTGGAGCTGCAGCACCATGGTCAACACTGCCACCTCCTCCTCCATGCAGGTAAGAGAAACTGCCTGCCCATCCCTACCCTTGGCGGGGTGGAATGGGGCTGGGTCCCAGCACGGGGATGCGGCCCAGGTTCCTCAGTGCCAGCCAAAGAGTGCCTGTGGATCCTTCCATGCTCCTCCAGCTGCCCTTCCCTTCCCTTCCCTGTCCCCGCCCACCCTGCTGGGTCTCCCTGCAAACCCTGCCTCAGGGCATGACCCTTACCTGACCCCAGCCCTGCTGGTGCCCCTAATTCCTGACCCACAGCCCCCTGCCCCCCCCAAATGCATGTTTTTATGATTCATTACAATCTGCCTGCTAGCTCTGCTACCCTCTGTGCTCCAGAGGTAATAACAACCCTTTTTCCTTTGCAAGTTCTACTTAATTAGGTTTTCCTCTGAACTATGTTTCCATTGTCTTTGAAGCCACTAATGATCTTTTCTCGTTGCTGCTATGTAACAATCCTCCTCCATTCCATTGATTGCTTTTATTTACATAAAATTAAACACAGACCATTGTTTTTTTCTGTCATTTAGCTTAGCCTGTGCCTGCTTCTTTTCTACGTCTGAATAGGGTGCTCTACACCCAAAGGTTATCCAACATCTTTCCTACCCATCCAGCCTGTTTAGGAAAAGATATCACAAAGAAACCTTGTCTCTTGTACATTTCCAGGACTAGCACATGGCCTCAACAATCAGTATCATAACCAAGGCAGGGGCTGACTGGGACAGCAGCCCCAGGTGCCACCTTTGTGGAGGGTGGGGGGAATGCAATAATAGCTGCCACCACAGAAGTGGCTGAAGGCTGATCACTTCGCCATCATCATCAGCTGGCACTGCTCTGTGCATCATGGCCACTGAAGGCACAGAACTGCCCGTCTATGTCTCTTACAACAACACTCCAACCCTACTATAACTGTGCTCTAATAGGTTTCATCTCTAATATCCTCTGGCAAATAAAAGGCATGTAAGATTTGGAAAAATTATTTTGATTTTGCATCTGTTAAGAAAGACAATGGCCCGAAGCCTCCACTGACTCCAAACCTGGGTACCAAAAAATATTTAGATAGCATGGCTTTATAATGAACTGTAAAGACTATTAAAAAAGGAAAACATAAGAAAACAAAATTAGCCAACAGGAACATTTTGGTTATGGGATTGAAACTCCTGAATGAGGAGAAAAAGATTAGCTTTAAGGTAGTACAATCATTGTGTGTTATATGCTATTTACAATTTTCCCCCTTTTGTCTGTTTTAACTCCTTTCTAACTTATTTCTATTCCAAGTTAAAAGTCTCCCCTATTCCCATTTCTGTCAGATATTTATTGCTGAGGTGCAACTCTCTTCAGTTTTGGCAAAACGTAATTCCAAAGCAGCATACTGGAAATACAAAATGTTTCAAAAGTAATGGCCAAACATTACCTGTAGATCCTGGGAATCCTGGCTTTCCTGGTTGTCCTGTTGGTGCTCTCACACAGCCTGCACCTGAAAACAAACACTGCAGTTTGGGTTGCATGCGCTTATATGCTCTCTCACATTTTTTTGTGACTTACATAAATATACATGAAATTAAACCAAGGGAATGTTGCAGAAAAAATCTTGAAGAAAACAATAAAAAACATTTCTTTAATTTCTATATTGAAATGTGTAGCTAGCTGGCATTTCATGAATGCATATTTTGTTGTCCCTTCCCTCCACGCTCTCCTTGTCAGTGACAATACATTTAGTGGTTTACTTTATCCTCATTCAAACCTTCACTGTTTTAATACTAGGGAAACCTTAAGTTACAAGTTAACATTTGTATGTCCAAATTCTCTGAAAGGCAAGTCTAGTCCTCCCCCACTGAAATTTCTGAATAAGTAGTAATAGAAGCCATTTCTATTCAGAGAAATGAATTCAGTTCTACTGCAAATTTGAATATTCTTGTTTAGATTCCAAATTGAACTGAAGCTCTTGATGTAAATGTATGCTCCTTATAATACATGGTTTGCTACATTGTACATTTATGTTTGCTTAAATTCTTTTTGTCACCTAATTTCTTGGGTGGGTTTTGGAGTAATTTCATGCAGTTATTATTACAAATTGCATGGTAATTATTCTTTAATCATAATAAATTCAAAGGAGCAATGAACCAAACCTTTTTTGGTTTACTGAGGTGAAACTTCATTAATTTTACAATACGTGCCAGGAGATCAGATTACTTTATAGTTGCTCTGTGAATATGCAGTTATTTCTGATCTGAAATGTAACCAATTTATATCTGTCACCAGGTAGCAGTAAGTAAACTACCATGCTGTATATGTCCCATAAAATTAAGCATTACAGTATTTTCAAGCCCTTTTAATTCATTTAACATACCTGGCCAAATTGGCTCCCTTCCATCTCCTCTAGAAAGATCTTCAGGAACTTGGTCACAACCTATCAGTGAAGAGAAAAGAGTAAGAAGGCCCCTAAGCATTTTAAAAATGTGGACAATTATAAAAGCTGAACTTCTCTGTTCTAACTAGAGATGCCTATTACAGTATTAAATGATACACTCTCATAATAACTGTGCACTAGATAATTCGCATAAATTAAAGACGAAAAAGATACTAACATTAAAATACTCGGAAATATGGTGAATCATGTCTAATTCTAACCATATAGAATTGAACAGAGCAAAGTACTTTTCATGGATAGATCTGAAAAAAATAAATAAGCCTAATAAGTCAAATGATATTAGTATGCAGACACTGCAGCAAAAACTAGGGATC